ATATTGCTGTTTGCCAAGAATACAAAACTCAATGTCACCAAAACTGTCTGTATTTTCCCACCTCCACACTATTCACACGTGTCTGGTCCTTTTTCGTTCTACTTACACCTTCTTGTAAAAGACCTAAAGACAGATCCTCTAAACCAGCGGTTCTTAACCTGTGGGTCGCGACCCCTTTGAGGGTCGAACGACCCTTTCACAGGGGTCACCTAAGACCATCGGAAAACACATATATAATTACATATTGTTTTTGTGATTAATCACTATGCTTTAATTATGTTCAATTTGTAACAATGAAATTGGGGGTCACCACAACATGAGGAACTGTATTAAAGGGTCGCGGCATTAGGAAGGTTGAGAACCACTGCTCTAAACAAAGCCTGCTTTTAGAGCTTTGTCCTGCTTCTCCTAGTTACAAGGAAGGTCACATAGTTAAGTAAAAACAAATAAAGAACACAGGACTAGGTCCCAGTAAATACAGGAATGTACTATCTGACAAAGGATCAGAGGGAAATTTGATGGTGCTGACCTGAGTGAGTATCTCCTGAAAGAAAATATAGCTGGAGCCCTATCTCAAACATTTGCAAAAATCAGTTCAAGCTGGAGTGTTTTCATGCAAAATGTAAAACAAAAATAATGTAGCCCTAGCTGGTTTGCTCAGTGGTTAGAGCGTCGGCCCATGGACTGACGGGTCTTGGGTTTGATTCTGGTCAAGGGCACGTACCTCAATTTCAGGCTCAATCCCTGCCCCTGGTGAGGACGTGTGTGGGAGGCAGCCAATTGATGTGTCTTTCTCTCATCAGTGTTTCTCTCTCTGTGTCTCTCCCCCTCCCTTCCATTCTCTCTCTCTAAAAAAAAAAATCAATGGGAAAAATATTCTCAGGTTAGGATTAACAACAACAACAAAATTAATTTAGAAGACATAAAACATGACCTAGGGTTGGGGGAAACCTTTTTAACAGAGGTAGGAAATTCATCATTTATAAGAGAAAAGACCCATTATAAGAAAAAAAAGATTTCAGGCTCAATCCCTGCCCCTGGTGAGGACGTGTGTGGGAGGCAGCCAATTGATGTGTCTTTCTCTCATCAGTGTTTCTCTCTCTGTGTCTCTCCCCCTCCCTTCCATTCTCTCTCTCTAAAAAAAAAAAAAAAAAAAAAAAAAAAAAAAAATCAATGGGAAAAATATTCTCAGGTTAGGATTAACAACAACAACAAAATTAATTTAGAAGACATAAAACATGACCTAGGGTTGGGGGAAACCTTTTTAACAGAGGTAGGAAATTCATCATTTATAAGAGAAAAGACCCATTATAAGAAAAAAAAAAGGCAATATTTTTGAATGGTAAAATATATAATAAAAGAAGTAATTCGATAAATACAGGCTTATTAATCACCGGTTGAAAGGTGGGAGTAGTGGGCAGTGTGGCACGCTGCAGAGCCCTGTCCAGAGGGGACAGCAACTACTCAGCTCCAGCAGGTGAACCAATGCCCTGCAGGGTTGCGGATGCAGAGCGGCCAGATGTCTGGTCCTTAAATCCCTTAGAACTCAGAAATGTTATAATTTCTATTTGATCTGCTACTGGTACCCCAAACTCAAAATGTCAGCAGGTGGAAATTATCATCATCTTACCACAATATTCTCCCTCTCTCTCTCCTTCTCTCTCTCTCTCTCTCTCTCACTTTCTCCTCTCTCCTCTCTCTCTTTCA